AGTAGGAGTAGTAGAGTAGTAGAGTAGTAGTAGTAGTCGTCGTCGTCGTCGTCGTCGTCGTAGTAGTAGTAGTAGGAGTAGTCGTAGCAGCAGGAGTAACAGTAGCAGGAGGAGTAGCAGTAATAGTAGCAGCAGCAGCAGTGTTGGAGGAAATCTTGCACCGTTTGAGTAGACCAACAATGCGAGTACACCGCAGCCCCTGTTTAACATTGCTCTCTAGTCCTGGGAAGGGCCGTGGGTTCGACTCACAAAATCTAGCACCAGCCACATGGCACGCTATAATCGAAACTAAACCGGGGTTTTGGTGATCGGCGATATCATGAGTCAACATCTGGGCGGTGCAAAATTTCCTCCATCCACCGCAGCAGTAGTAGTAGTAGTCGTCGTGGTGGTGGTGGTAGTAGTAGTAGTAGCAGCAGCAGTAGTAGTTACAGTATTGGATGCGATTGCGTCGTATAGTATAGTTTACCATAGTTTAGTTTAGTGTAGTTTAGTAGTACGAGCAAGTGGGGAACGAAGTTGCTTTTGCGAGCTCATTGCCCGGGGGCAGAGATCTCACCGTTTAGCGATTAAGCTGTCTGGCCTTGGGCTGATGTTTTCAATACTTCTCCGAACGAACGGAGAAACAGCTCCTGCCCAAAGGAGATCTCTGATGCTCGAAGACCAAGCTATCGCTCCATGCGTTCGCGCCCCACAGCAACCAGCCAAATTCCACACCAACAACGACCTGGCCCTACGATTATACTCGCAACAATGGCACACTAGACTTTCGCATTAGACTCGCAAAAGATGTAACCTACACTACTTTGGAAGTGTATGCGCTAAGCCTAAACAGGATCTCCAACTCGCCCGCGGGGACAACAGTCCTGCGAGTGAAGGCGCGTGGCCTCAAGAAGGCTTCTGCAGATTGCGGGCAAAGAATTACACTGTTTGGCCGTGGTAAGGTGTAACATTGACATAAGATGTGGCTGCACCTGCCAGGCACTCTCCACTCCACATGTTACTGAACGACTAGGGACGCAATTTGCTTCGCCTGCGAAGTCATTGCTCTGAATCTAGTACTCCTTGTCTTTCCATGGTAGCGACAAGGCTCACGGTGCAGGCGTGCAGACTGACCTCTCCACTCACCCGTGCCCTTAAGGCGTGGCAAGTCAAGCTTGATTCTTGATCGTCAAGCAAAACCTCGTTTGCTGAAAACACAAGTTTCCGTGCGGAGCCTTGCCAGTGTCCTCTGGTGTCAGCTTGGGCAAGCACTCCTTCATCAGGTGACGACCGGGATGTCAGACTCATGGTGTTCAAGAATCAAGCAGTTTAGGACCTCGAGGTTGGCGGATTGGTGTCTTCGATCTTTTTGGGGGCTAGATTCAGGGTCTAAGGTCAGAATGTACTCCGCGACAAAACACCACGTAGGGAATGCTCGAAATATCGCTAAAGACCACCATCTCAAAAGCCTTGACATGAAAATGCAGTGTAAGCCCAGTATCGAGTCACGCCAGTTCCACTCCATCACTATCATTCTTCTTGCGCTTCTTCCACGACTGGATCTAGTAGAACTATAGTACATGCCACTGGACAGCTTGGCACATAAGTCCGGTCCATTGTATTTTAAAAGAAAATGACATGCAACCCCACATCTCCAACACCTGCGCCTAGACCTTCTCAAGTCCCGCAGCGTTGACTCCAAACTGCACCCTGCCCTAAACAGCTGAGCTGCAAGATCCAGGAGAAGTGGCAAGCATTTCCAAAGCATCTTGGAGACCGCAAAACTTAGCACTACAGGGCGGGGCCAGCAACCCTGCAAGCAGCATAGCAGGACTCAACGTTGTCTACACAGCGGTCGGAATCGTCATGACACTGACGTATACTGAAAATGATGCAAAAACAAACCTAAAGAGTGTATAGCCATGAACGCCGACAGTCCGAGATGTCACGGTGTCAATTTCTGAACGGCTAGCGGATGGGTCCTGCACCTTGCGCCAGACCCAAGTCCCAAAAACCTGAGTTCGACCTTTGACTGTAAACTCGAAAGCTCAACCCCCTTAATACCTCTTGAATACATCGCGATTCAAAGCGAAACCACTGGCTCCTGTGCAAAGGCCATGCCTCTAGGCATCTCAAGAAAGTACTCAAAACCTAAACCTGCAATTTCCAGGGCTTTCAAGTCTCCCCCCTCCCGAAAAACCTTCCGACGCAGTACGACAGGCTCCTCCCAGTTGTCCGGCAGTTTCCTGTTGAGCACCTTCGGGAAGCCAGGTTTGGCGGGGATGATCGGATTTTGGTTCGGTTTCGGTTTTAAAGTTCCGTGATGGTCGTTCAAGCGGGTTCGGAATGGATGCCTTGCCGGCCCACTGGATGTGATTCTGCTGCACTTGTAAGAAACCGTGCCGAAGCACTCACCAACCGAGGGGGAATGTCACCAAATGCACCAGCAACCTCCTGCAAACCTGCAAAGCCAAGCAAGACGGATCCTCGCGAGTGTCCTGAGCCATCCAGAAGCTGCCAAAAGACTGATCCGAAACCTCAAAGCCTAAACTTCCCAATCTGAAGAGTCTGAAGATGTCCGCAGGCTCAATTCATGCTGTGATGGTTTGAGTTGGAAGGTGCTCAGCACGGCGCTGCACGCTCGAACTGGGCCGCAAGCTCCGGCTCCTTCTCCTGCGATCGTCCCCAGTCGGCCAGTCGATTTGGTGTTCGCGTCTTTCTGTTTGTTGGGCATGGGCACAACGTCTCTTCCCTGCGTGGGATGCTAGGTGCTTTCCTGGTCCACCGAGATCCACAAAAAAGTCTTCAGGGCAACTCCAGACATGAACATCATAGTCGAGTCGGTAGGTTAGAGTCTTCCCTGCTTCGTCCTCAAAGGGCTGTAAAACCTTGTCCATATGAAAAGATACCTGCCTTCAGGGTCGCGTGAATGCTTGTATGATGGCTGTAAAGTCCAGGGGTGAACTCTGAAGCTTCAAATCTGAATCCTGGAGCCCCTGGACCAAAAAGGACCTTGTAGGCTGCGAAGAGCTTGTCCCACTCGGCTTGCCTCATCTCGAATGATTTACTGTGGACTCTTTTCGGGCCTTCAGGTTTTGGAGATTGACGGGTGGAAAAGTTCAGGATTCTGGCTTCAAGTCAAAGCCTTCGGAGAAGAAGCAGGGTCTTACTCCACGCTGGCCGGGTCTGTGAAAAGCAAAATAGCATTCAGGGCGGTTCTCCTTGGACTTTATGGCATGTGCTGTTTGCAGGAAGTTAGAATGTTGGACATTGGAACAGTTGTAAAAGTCCAACAATATGGTTCGTAACCTTTCCAAAAGTTCTAAACAGCATCGACTCCTCGCAACGTCATGGCCCATGGTCCCGTACGACATTACGATATGCAGGGCTAGTTGAGAAACCATGTCCACCTCAAGGTCAGCTTCCAGAAACCCTTCACCCAGTGTCCTGAATGCCCACGCGCGAAGTCTAAGCTTCAAGCCCTGAGCCCAAACGCTTTTTAGAAGCATCCGGGGTGCTTCTCGACACCAGCATCTGCCTGCTTCTTGAAAGCGGCATAGACGTGCTCCGGCACCTTTCGTTAGCAACGCTACGCGGAGCACGCGGCTCCCGGTGTGGAGGGGTGCATGTTTTGCGCTCGCATTGTATTATTTACACAGAATCGGTGCGGCCACGCCTCCCGGAGAGCCAGATTTACTGTAAATTCCAATGTATGGGCTAATTTTGGCACGGAAAACTTTGAATTGCGGCAGTATTTGGTGGAAAGCATTTTGGCCGCCATGCTGAACCGCGCCAATACTTGGGAGCAGTTTGGTGGTATCTTTTCGGGGTTGTCGCGGTCGTCCTGGTTGTAGCGGTCATCGTCGTGGTTCTGGGGGTGGCAGAAGTTAGTTTTGGGCTTCGAGAGTTTAGGGAACGCCAGGGCTCTGCCTCGAACTCACCATAGCTCCAGCCCAGCTGCCTTGGCTCTCACAGGTCTCGAAAGCAAGTGGACTCCAAGCGATCTTCGTTGCTTTGATCGGAATATATTGCGGCTCCGACTCTGGTGTTGCAGGGTACCATGGATCAGGTCAGGAAAGTCTTCACACTTATTCTGATATTATCAAGCCTCAGGATGGAGGACAGCCTATTTTCGAGAAGCGGTGACCAAGACCAATGCTGCCACTACTGCTTCCCCTCGTGTTGCAGATGCCAAGCCAGCAGCTCTGGGAAGAGAAACTCCCGTAAACTTCCTTCCGTGTGCACAATCTCGAATATCCTTCCTTCGAAACTCACAGTGATGATTAGAATTTTAAGAGCTCGAAGCCTGTATTGATCACAGTTTTCTTGGGTGTCGGTACACTGCTTTAGAAGGAAGAAGTATCTTCGGAATGGAGGGCCCCACGAAAAGAAGACTGAGGTATGTAGCCACCGATGCATCATGTACGCCTGGCTCGAACAGTTTTGGTTCGATGTGCATACTGACTCGCCGGTACTTGCCCAATTGCCGCAACATCAGGTCTTTCTTGTCACCCAGCTGTTCCTGTCATTGAGCAATCTGCTTAGACTGCAAGCCTGCGTCGAAAGAAAACTCAGTTGCAGAAACTCGAATACTTTTTCTTCACAATCTCTCCGACAAGCCCCGTAGCTGCTACAGATTGCACTATGATTCTGTCATCTCCTGAACCGAAACTGCCTGCCCTGAACCAAAGCCTCAGCTTCATTACCAAATGAATGGCAGCCAGGCTGCTTGCGCGTTGCCTCAGCCTCATCCGCTCCCAGGGGGGCGCCATGCGCATCGTGGCTGTCAGCCTGACATGGCACGCAGAGCTGCAACTACCTCCTGATCCGATTTCTCAGCCGCCTATCACGCAAACAACCGGACTATGGCACGAACACTTGATCTGCAAACATCACAATGCTTCTACGACCATCCTAATCCTCGAAAACTGGGGCTAGCTGCCAGAGGATCCAGGCAGCTTCGCTCGGGCCCATGGCTCCAAAACCAACTTGAGCCCCAAACTGTCTAGCCTTGAATCTTCAGGACACACAAGACAAGCCTTGTTCGGCGATCCGAAACCGATGGTGGTCTTCACCTGGCGGCTTCGGCTGGCTTGAAACAAGCTTGCAGAAGCACATTAGAATCGCCGATCCGCATGCAGCAAGGTTTTCGGCCGCTGCCTGTTGGACTTGAAACCAAAAGTTCGAACACACAGTTTTAGCAGGATGAAATACCTCGAAGCTACTGCCAGCCTTGATCAAGGTGGGCTTGTCCTTGGCGGCCATACGGAAATGGAGCATGAGCCTAAACCCTCAATTGCTTTCAGCCCGTTGAAGCATCGAGCACAAGCAGTCCTACATCCAGGCTCTCGGCCTGAGGGTGAAGGGCGTTGCGTTGCAGTGGGTAGTAGTTTGGACGGAAGGCAACAACAAGAATGCTAAAACCGTACACATGCGTCTCCCTACATGTGCTAGGTCCATGCGGAGACGCTCAACGTCACACCAAACCAAATAAAAGCAGTGGGCGGGAGGGTGCAGGCTTCCGCGACTTGGGGTTCAAAAGCACGAGGTCTACGACTTGTAAGATCTTGGGCCCAGTGTAGTCAAGCTTTCAGGCGTTTTGAGTTGCTAGCTTTCGGGTTTTAGAGCTGCTCTCGCGTCATTTTTGATACCCTGAAACCTGGAGATGAAGCCTCTGAAGCCGAAACTGCCGAGTTGCCGTGCAAGCTTTCGCTTCGGCAATGGCCTTACGGATGGCACCCACGTCCTGACACATTGGGGCTCCCTACACAGGTTCCGCATGGGTTTACATATTTGGCCTGTTACCTCTTCTCAAGGATTCGCTCCAAGATTCAGATTCTCAGAAGTAGCTGGTTATTGAATTTCAATACTATCCCATGCCGGGATCACAGAGGGGCGTCCCCAAACTTTTTCCCAGGGAACAAAGATCTGCAGTCTCTAAGGCTTTCACTTAAGTTTCTGTAGTATTCGGCAGGTCTTGTGGCAAAAGGCGGCAAAACCACACCCTAGCAGGACTAAGCAAATAGCTGAAGCCCCAAGTGCTGCTCCCTGTCTAGCCTGGTCGCCGTTGTCCACGACAAGAACCTGCCAGCCGTAGGCCTGTATACAGGGCACTTCTTGGGTTGGTGGATTTTCCTTCATTGAAGAAACAGGTCAAAAAACCCTCCAGATACCAAACTCAGAAACTCGAAAGTGTTCATGCTCTCTTCTTGACAACGCGAAGATTTGCTAGCGGCATCATGTAAGGTGCTTACGGCACGTCCCGCACGTGACATCAGGCTCAAAGGTCCAGGTGCACTTTCCAAAGGTCCGAACTCTCAGCTGCTAGATGCACAGCGAGAAAGAACTCAGCCCGCATACCCCAGATGCCTGCAAACCTCCTCGAGCCCCAACTCAGATAGTGCCCCAGTCGCTGGAGCTCATCACCAAGGGACAACCCTACAACCCTCTATGTGGGCTTCTGGCTCACCGCTGTGTGAGCTTTTGCTTAGGCCTCGAAGCGCTTGCCGACATCCTCTTGCGAGCACGCAAAGCAAATTCTCAGGGCCTTTATCCGGGTACGATTCTAGTTGAGAGGTGTTCCAGGGGCGGGGTTTAGGATTTCGGCGTTGTATATAGGCTTTCTTCAGGGGATGATGCAAGATGCACGACGAGCACATTGCACATGCCTCTGACAGGAATCGAGCGAAAGGGAATTGCCAATGCTGCACTTGCTGGGGCGAGGAGCTTCATGCACCTTATCTCGGACTGAACTCCTTTCCGAACAACCTCCGTGAGGCTTTTAGCATCCAGGATTTCCTGGGGGTCTGGGCTTGAGGAAGAGGTATCCTTGACTCTTCGAGCTGGAGCTGCTGGAGCCTTGTCTGCGCATCTCGACAACGATTTCAAGTCCGGAGCCGGGTTCTCAACACCTTGAAAAAACTCCAACATGCAAAAGTCTCGGATCAAACGCTGCAGGCGCCGCAAGCTACCACTCTCCAACACTTAGAACTCTAGAAGAACCACGAACCTCCTGCTCTGGGATGATCGCTCCTCCGTGAAGGAAAGATCGGTGTGGCCATCGATGGTGATGCCATTGTCATCCTGGTGTATCCATAAGGGTTATGGTTAACGATGATGCTGAAATGATGACGAGCATCCTGTGATATGGTCACCCGTACCTGGTACAAGTAGCACGGCCAACTTATCCACCAACAAGCTATCACCGTCATCACTACTATCAACAGCATGCCCATGAGGAGCATCAGATCCATCAGTGCCACCACCACCATGTTCATGATTTTCTGCTTCATCATCATCATAATCATCATCATCATCATTGTCACCCTCGTCGTCCTCCCACTGCGGCTGCTACTGCTGCTACTCCTGCTACTACT